GCGGGGTCCCCCCGCCTCTGCGGGTTTGCTCCCAATGCCCCTGGTCTGCTGGAGACGGTCCCCAGCAGACCAGGGGCACCGGGAGCAGCTTTTCTCGCCCTGGAGCTCGAGGTGGCTGACCGCTGCCTGTGAGCTCTGGGGCGAGAAAGTCCCGTTCGTAAGTGCGGATCCGACATAAGTCGGATCCGCGTAAGTCGGGGACTGCCTGTACTTAAAACAGAAAACCAATAAAATTGACTAAATATTTGTGTGTTTAACCTTGAATGTTGGTGCTTGAGGAAAGGCAGGTTTAATTACAGAAGGTAGGTGATGATTCTGAAGGACACTTCTGGGCATCTCCTAGCCATCCCATGGGTGCTGCACCAACTCCTGCAGCCAACCCCATCCCCCAACTGTCCCCCGCATTGGCTTCACCCAGGTCCTGCTCATCAGGAAGTGGTGAGTAGCATGAGCACGGGCTCCAGGACTCCAGAGGAGCAGGGAGCAGCTGTGACATGGATGGGGAAAGTCACCACTTCTCTTCAGCCACTGCCTGTGCATGGCAGCCCCCTGCTCCTCTGGAGTCCTCCTTCTCACTGTCTCCTGGTGAGCAAGAGCTAGGTGCTGCCAGCAAGGGGGTTAGTGGCCAGAGGATAGAGTTGGCCACTGGAGCCATGTGGGGGAGGGAGAGGGTGATGATGCTGGCCATAGTCCTCTGACCAGTGTTCATGCTGCTCCCTGCCACCTGCACCTTGTGCCTGGTCCTCTGAGGCTGCAGATGAGCCTTACAAATATCCATACATATGAATAAGTCAGATGTTTGTAACTCAAGGAGTTCCTGTATTGTTATTGGGCTGAAGAAATCCTAGCCTGACTTACTGTAGGCTGGGGACATTGTGGTCATCAATGAAGACTCTCTCTACCCTGTAATGGAAGTACACAGGGTCATAACCTTTTTCACCTACAAAAAAAAAGTTTCAGATTAAGCTAGTTTAGAGTTTTAGTAAATTACCCGTACATGTATAAATTATGCCAGTAGTCAAGCCATTTTTCTAGGTTTTGAGGATGTTGTCATAACAGGTGAGACTATTGGAGAGAGACAGTGGGAATCTATTCATTCAATAGAACTAACTGCCATCAATAGCAATCGTGTTCTGTGTGAGGTCAGTTTTCAGAGCCATGACCCTTTTAGCTTGATTTCCCCATTTCTGACTGGTTGGCTGAACTGATGTTGGCTTGTGATCTGATTGGGGGGGGGGAGGGGGGAAGTCATGTACACACACACTTTGGCCAAGTGGCTAGCCAAAATTTAAAGTTTGAGGGTTATTCCAATTAGGTATCTCTTTGATGCAATCTTGGGGCACATCTACACAGCAGGGCAAAAAAGTTGAATTAAGCTATGCACGTCAGCTACATCAATTGCATAGCTGAAGTCAAAATAGCTTAATTCAGCTTTTGGTGCCATCTATGAGGGATGTTAAAGACTAATCAACTAGCTGATTCTCTCTCCTCCCCCTCCCCCATCAGCTGTGCTGTGTGGCATGCATGGAGCCCAGGGTCAGCTGAATCTGGGTTCTAGGGAAAAGCTGTGCTGGAGCCTGGGATCAGCTGGGCAGACCCCAGCTCTGCATGGCATTTCAAAGCAGCAGTGCAGCATGGAGCTCGGGGTCAGCGGGGGATTTCAAAGCAGGCACCTGTTTGCAGCCCAGAGTCAGCAGGGCTTCCCGCTGGCCCTGGGATGCACACTGAGTTCTGCATTCCTAATTTGAAATGTAGAACAGCCCCAGCAGAAGGAGGAATGCGGAAGTGCCTATTGACCAGTCGATGGAAATTCCATCTACTAGCCAATTAACCGATCGTTAACATCCTTAGTCTACACAGCAGGTAGTCAAAGGAAGAACACACTTCTGTTAACTTCCTTTATTCCTTATGAAATGAGGGTTACGAATCAGAGTAAGAAGTCCTCCATCTTGATTTTATTTTGAAATAATGGCTTGTGGTGTAGATGCACTTTTGGTTTCAGAATGTCAGTTGTTCTGAAATAATGCTGCTGTATAGATATACCCTTGTTTATTTGCAAAAAATGTACACTAAGGCCTGCTTCCCTGAATGCAGGAGGATCAAACAATGGAAGGCAGTGGTCTGTCAATTCCAAGCTCCTCTGACCAAAGTGCTCCCACAGACACCCTGCCAGTGTTTATCAGTCTTCCTGCTTTTTAGCTGTTTGACTCCATGCTGTGAACTGTGACAAGCCCTCAGACACATCGCTTCCATCAAGTTAATCCCCAGATGCCACTTTAATTATCAGTGTCTAAAGATATAGCCTCTATTGCTTTGGCTATAACTTTACCATGAACGAGAACAGAGGCTGAGGGCAGCACTAGGAGCTGGGGGATGCTCCCTCAGCATTTAATTGTTCTCTCATTTAGCCTGAATGAAGGAGGCTATTATGCCAGCTTCAATGATATCCCACACACTTTGTGGGACATACCCAAACTTAGGATAACAGTAGCTAAATAGATAACTTACTGCAAAGGTTATAGATTTTATAATGATCTTTATGTTTTGTATCCAAGAATCTTGCAACTTCCTTAAAGACAGACAAAACATTTGTTAAACACCAAACATTTGCATTTACATTAGTTATTCCTCAATGCCACTGCCCTTATCCAAGAAGGTGACTAGTCACAATAAACCATAGGAGGAGAAACTGAACTATTCCTATCTAGCTAATGAGCCAACCTGATATCAATTTTTATACACCTACACAGTTCCTAAACTGATTCAGTGAAATTTCAAGTGATCATTTATTATTCTTCTATATTTGAGAGACAATAGCCTCATCTAGTCAGTCACCATTTAAACACAACCTGGACAGAGAAAAGTGATCATCTCAAGAAGGCTTTAATAGAGAGTGAAAATGAGGGTTTCCTCCAGACACTGCCACAACAAATTCCACAGTTAGATGGCAGATCAAGGACAAGATGGAGAGAGACTACACCCTCAATTTTTATGCTTGTGTCATCTGGACATAAATCCACTAAGTACTGGCCTCAGATTTCAAGATTTTTTTCCCTGGAGACCATCAGAGACTAGTTTAGTCATTCGCAGTATGGTCCATACTGGGAAAAGGAATTCGAAGTAGAATACAGATTCAATGCTGTTAAGTTTGGAGTTACATGCAAGAGGGATTTTAGGAGTTGATTTACCTTTATAGGATTCCTATAGAAAGACTGCTTCCCAGATGATGGAAATGACATTGCAATAATACGCTCTATGGAGGGAAAAAGTTGTTAAGTTCACAGGAATTAGAAACTAGACAGTGGAGGATGAATCTGAAAGAACTATTACACACTGTTAAAAAAGACAAATAAAGCTATCAAAAACACTGTCATTGAGTGAAAGTGCAATGGTTCTGAACAATTAGAGATCACCCCACAAACAAGTCATAATATAACAAGAGAGTAGCATAGGTTTTAATATTTCAGTTTAAATTACAAATACATTTCTGTTAGTGTACTATCTTCATTGTTACAGGATATATATCAAATTAACAGCCCTGCAATAATGATAGTCTACATCAGAGGTTCCCAAACTTTGACAGGGGACCAGTAAATCCATTCATGAACTTTTGGAGGACAAGTAACAATCAATCATTTGCATATTCATTAAGCAAATGATGAATATTAAAATAAGTTGTTTCTGGTCCTCCCAAAGCTTTTGGTACAGTCACCCACAATATTCTTGTCAGCAAGTTAAGGGAATATGGATTGGATAAATGGACTGTAAGATGGATAGAAAGCTGGTTAGATCAGGGTTTCCCAAACTTTTTACTTTAGTTGGAACCCAGATTTTTTTAGTACTGTTTTTTGCAGCCCAAAAATATAAACACAGATTAAAAAAAAAAAAATGAAAAATGAATAAATTTTCAGTGTTTCACCCAGCTGCATCCTCCACCCAGCCTGGGCCAGGGCTTGGGGGACCTGGTGCTGCATGAGCACTCCAGGATGTGGGAGCAGGAGCAGACCGAGGTTAGGGTAGCTGTCTAGGAGGCAGGCTGCAAGGAGGGGTAGAGTTGCCAGGTGTCCGGTTTTGTACTGGTCAATCTGGTATTTGTGGGTTTTGTCTGAGAAACAAATTACCAGACATAAAATGTCTAGTATTTTCTAATTAGGTAAGTTTTATTATAATCAGGTGTATCAGTCCTTAGCTGCGAACTGCCTGGATAGTAGATGTGCTCGCTGCCTGAGTGTGTCTACCTGCCAGGCAGTTCGCAACTACTCAAGGGAAGTTAAGAGGGAGGGGGTCAAATGGAATCCCCAGGCAGACTCACTCCTCTGCCAGGGTCTGTAGGGTGCACGTGCCCAGGTCAGTCCCACTTCCCCCTCCGCCCCCCTTCTCCTCCCGATCTCCCAGTCAAGCCCTGCTGCCCCCATCCATCCCTGCTT